TTATTTTTATTTTTAAGAAAGTGGGTGGGGCTGTTTTAGTTCATCAGTTCTGAGAGCCCTCCCCCTATTCCAGTCTGTGCTGGGGTGACTGTGGGGGTCAGAAGTCACCTGCAGAAGTAGACTGAATGCGATTGGTCCCAAGTGTAGTGGAATATTAGCAGCTTCTACATGGCAGCTGTGTCGATCTGAACATACAGCTGCCGAACTCCTGCCTGTGGAGACAAAACCATTCATCATGGCTGAATACTATGTTGACATCCTACTACCATCAAACCATCAATACTGCTACTGAAAGTAAAGTTTGTAAGAATGGTGCTGCTGACACAACCCTACATCTACAACTTCAACTGCCACCAGGTACAGTGTACTTGAATGAAGCTGTGTTTAGGTACCTGCGTGAAGATGTTGTGTGTCTGGCTAAGGATCCAGCGGGTGTCAGCGTCAGGGGCGACCAGCAGCTTTAATGTTCCGATATAAACATCAGTACACAGAGTCCAGAAGTGAGGCTCCTGCAGATTATAAACTCCCTGCAGTTGCTGCACCTGGCCACAACAAAACAAACATCAGACTTGTCCACTCCATTCAAGGGCTTGAGGTACCTTCTTAAATTAGTGCTATAATTGTTACTACTACTAAAACAAATGATTACTCAATAATGATAGTATCAAGAAATGTACAGTTTATACGCTAAAATACATATTTACAGAATCTATTCAGTAGCACCTTTGGTTTCTATTGTCATGAACTGCCAGAACCTGCAACAAGTAAAGAACTGGTTCTTATTCCACTCACTGTATCCTAAGATGATCTGTGCAAAATCAGACTTCCAGGAAATGCAGCTGCATACACTTTTAAATTTTTAATTTGTCAAGTACACCAAAATCTAGCTTTATGCTAAATGCTGATGTTTGCTCAGTTCCTACCTCTTCTTTGAACACTGAGTATGGTCACTACTCACCCTCTGGTAGCACTCTGGTAGGGCATGGTCTAGTGAAAATGGAGTTCTCTGCATCAGAATCCCAATAGACTCCTTCAGTAAAGGTACCACACTGAGGATCAAATGATAGAAGAGAGAAAGTTTAGACAGAAAGTAGAGAGTCTTTGTTTTTTTTAGTTGTGTTATGCCAGTTCCCAACAACAGCCACCTCAAGGCACTCTGCATTGTAAGACCCCACAATTTTGGAGAAAAACATTCCAGCAGTCAGACGATCCACTATGAGTAAGCAGTGACAGAATCAAGGAAGAACTCCCCTTTAACAAAAGGAAAACTCCAGCAGAACCAGGATCAGGAGGCAAAAGTCAAAGATATAACATAACAGGAAAACAAGAGAGGACAAAAAAAAAAAAAAACTTGCAATACTGTTCCACGGCTGTGCAAGAATACACTTATGCAAACATCCATGCCACTAGTCAACTAATTTTGAAATCATAGCCCAAGTCCAAGTTGTGGTGCATGTACCATGAACCACAGTTCAAAATTGTAGAGATCCTTAAGATGGGTCCGAGTTTAACTCATTTGCAGAATCTGTAGATTTACAACTGAAGTTCAGCTCCATGATGAGTTTGACTTTCCAGCTGCAGAAACCTGATACCTGCAGTTATGTGAAGGCATCTCAGCTAACCACAGCACCACTCTGCTGACTCTTTAAATTGGCAGCTGAGCTCACTTCCAGCATATCAAACCACATCAGCACACATGAACTCCATTTATCTTGGATTTCTGGGAAATCTGACCACTGCATTCACATTCAGAAGACCAGCGATTCGAGAACAGACTCCAGGACTGTATAAAGGACAATACCAGTGGTTTGGCATGTTGGCGCCCATTAAATACTAATTGGACATTCTTTACATTAGTGGAAACCATTTTCCAAAGAGTCTGTCAGTTTTTGATTGATTTTCTTTCTTCCAGGCAGATGTTGTTTCCAGCTTGTTTTTCTCTGGAATTTGACTTTAGAGCTGAAACCTGATTGATAATCCATAAGCTCTAGTAGTCAATGAGGAGGATCTGTAAGATGTTAACAAATGTCTGCTATCATCTGAAGAAAATGAGCTTCTCTAACATATGTTTCTGATAAGACAAAGTTACACATCATGAGCACTACTAAAGAATGTAAAATACTCAAGGGATCATTAAAAACCAAAAAAAAAAAGGTTCTCATAGTCCTGCAGTGACTTCAGGCCTGAATCTGGGTTTTCATTATTAGAGAGTGGTTCACTTCTTTTTGGCATACATCACTGTTATGCCACAGACCAGATCCGACCCAAGAACAGTTTATGTTCCAGATAGGAAAATGTGAAGTAATCACCTACTGACCCATCAGCTCCCTTAGATCTTCGGGTGGATATAGTTACTGCCTAAAAGTTTTAAAGACCAAGTATTTGCCTTTAACTGATGAAAATTAAGTAATATAGATTATTGGGTGGTATGGTGGAACAGTGGTTAGCGTTGCTGTTTCACAGGAAGAAGGTTCCTGTCTTGAATCTTTGCTTAGGCCTTCCTATGATTAATGTTAGCTTAATTTGTGATTTTAAATTGGTCATGGATATGAGGTCAAGTGCTTATGATATAGAGAATACAATGGTTAAATAACTTTAGTTTAAAGCACTCCGAGTGGTCAGCAAGACTAGAAAAGTCCTTTATAAAGGCTCAAAAGCACTATATAAAACTCATGGAAGGGAATATTACTTGCTGTTAAATGTTCATAGAAACTGAACATTTAACAGTGTTTCCTGAAAACCCTCTTGTCTTATCACTTTATGATAACATTTAAATTTACAATAAATAATTACACAGCAGTGCGGAGTAGTTTTAGTCACGGTAGATGTCTTTCTGAAAGTGCTGTAACTAAGTTTAAGGATATAATCATCCACAGTTATCTTCTTCAATTCCTTGTACCAACACAGAGCAGAGCAGCTGCACTAACACTACTCCAACAGAGGTCGATTATCTCGTTAATAATTTTACCCCTTCACTACGTATGACTCTGTGAAAAAGACAGCTTGACTAGTATTTGACTCCCTGGTATAACTCTCAAAAGCGCACCTTAAAGTAGATAACTCAAAAGCTGGAGAGAAAATGGCATATCACAAATTTAGAAGATGATCCTTTAGCCTGGAGGAATAGTTTGCCGCTTTATAAAAAGCCCTCCGTAAAGCTAGAACAGCTTGATTGATTGATTGAAGAAAATAAGAACGACCTTAGGTTTCTCCTCAGCACTGAAGTCAGGCTGACAAAACGTCAGAGCTCTGTTGAGTCAGCCAGTCCCTTAACGTTGACTAGTAATGACTTCATGAATTTCTTGACAAATAAACTTTACAGTACATGTACTGATCTTAAAACGGAACACCTACACTGTGCTTTCTGACCCCACATCAAATTTGCACGTAGAATAAAGCTTTTGTTTGATATTTGTTTGATATTTAATCTCAAAACAGCTCCGAGTCTGCAGCAAAGAATCTAAACTGGAATTGTCAGGAGCAGGTTGTGTTTAGAGTTTTAGTTTAAAAATCAGCTGGGAGTGCCACATTTTCACGGTTTCTTTTATTTACAGCAGGTTTTAAGCTTATTATAGATTCTCTGCTAGGGGAATATGTTTTATATGTGCAGCTTCTTAAGCTGTTCCTTTCTAAAACCATTGGGTGAAGCTCAAACTGTGTGCTGCACTGTTAAAGGAAGGTCTGTTTATTAATTTGGTGAATTTGAAAATGTATAAATGTTGTTATATGTGATTCTAATCTGGTGAAACACAGGACACACATCAAGTTAATCAAATTAAATTGTTCAAAATTAATTTCACTTTGATATGCATCAAACTGAGGGAATTTTCACATCTCTTTTATCAGGCTGGGATACTACTGGGATGATACTGGGACAGTAAGTTTCACAGCTCAAATGTGCAGCCATCATCTTAGAAATCAACAGCAGCACTGAGAGAAAACTTAAAATAATTAACTAGAATTAAAATTTTTATTTCACTGCACTGTGCACTAAATCATCCGATTATGGGCATGTACACACGTGTATTCGGTTGTCTTCTACTGTGCGTCTTTTGCCCTGTTACTGTCCCCAAGTGGTCGCAGCAGGTCACTGCCTCTCCCTGAGTCCATTTCTGCCAGAGGTCTTTCCTGTTAAAAGGGAGCTTATCCTTCTCACTGTCATCTGATTGTTCTGGTTTTCTCTCTACTACTGTAGGGTCTTTACCTTGCAACATAAAACACTTTTAGGCAACTGTTGTGACACTACGTAAATGAAACTGAATATAAAATACCAGAGTAAAAAAAAGGGTTTTAGCACTAAATTGTTCATTATTGACAGTATTGGTACTGTCCAGACCAATACTGGCTGATCAAATCACTTTACGAATTACTGGCAATTTCTGCTGTAGCGTTAAGTCTAGGCCACAGTTTTTGTATTCTCAGTAACAGAAAAAAA